CTTTTTATTACATATATAATAAATATTCTTTGTTATTATCTTTTTGTCATTCAAACATCAATTGTTGCTGAAATTTATTTGGAATTTGTTAAAGATTAATACTCAAATTCAATGTGATGATCTGAATTACCTTGTTCCCGTCTCTTTGTCTCCTTTTTAGATTGATATTGTCATTGTAGTTTATGAGTCGCTTGAGAAAATAGATTGAAAAGTCAAATTAAACTTACAGTTAAAAGTCACATAATTACATAATTTGATAATTTTTGCTAACTACTATTCCAAAGTTAGTGGGAAGTTTAAAATGTCATGATTCATTATTCTTGGTGATGGTATTGCTCTTGGCTCTCAATAACCACAAGATGCATTAGAGGAACTTGTTTGATTACTTCTTTTATATGATTGATAATTGAGAAAGGACCGCTAAGAGATTACATGGGACGACCATTGATGACAACAACATATGATTCAAATCCATGGTGATATGTTTTCAAGCAAGCCATTGCGATAGCTGGAGGAAAACTTGCAAAGCTTAAAATATTATCTTCAACTACAAATGCACAGTTCATGAGAAAGAGAGAGTTAGGAATTCCTATTTTTGGATTCTCTCCAATGACGGATACCCCTATTTATCGCATCATAATGAGGTTTGACAAGTTTGTAAATAAATTATTTTTACTCTTGCAATTACATGCTCATGCTTGTTACTTACACTCGTAAACATGTATTGCAGTTCTTAAAAGACTTCATATTCTCGAAGGGAAAAATTATACACATTTTCCCTCTTTTCTTTTAAGTTACCAATTGCTTTTAAGTCTCTTGTCCTTCGTGTTATCGTAGTATACCATTGATATTCCCGAGGAGGTTCAAAGGTAGTACGAAGAGGCAATGAATGGGATGCGATCCAAACAACACGATCCGCATAACATTATCACATAACGAAAAGTACCATACGGGGACTACGGTCTCGCTTGATTCACTTTCCTCGATGTTACATAAGTTAGTGCGGATGTTCAAGTTGCTTACGGATCCGCTCGGAGCCGGGACTCCTACGATCCCTCCCACCAAGCCCTAGAAAGAGGATAGAGGATTAGATGATCATGAGGACGATCGGGAGTGATATTTTATTTTTTTATTTTATATTTTTTTCTTACATACTAACGAATATTTTTTGTTAATAATAATATTAATTTAATTTATAATATTTAAATTTTAATAAAAAAATTAATTTTTATAATACGTTGTTTGTTTTAATTGTTAGTTACTATTAAGAATATCATAAATTTAAAAATTAACAAAAAAAATATCAATTTTAAAAAAATCAATAAACTTAGCGATAGATTAGTGTTGGAATTTTTTTATCAATGATGGATTTTACAATGAAATAACGACATATTATTTGATTGGAAGACATTTTTGGTGACCAATTAGTGATGGAATACAGAGATTTAGCAAGTAAAAAAATATCACTAAATTAACGATGGACACTCGTTCTTCCATCACTAAGGTTAGTGACAAACATTGTAGTGATAGAATTTTTTTCATCGCAAATTCATTGTTAAATCGCAAATCCATCACTAAATGATTTTAGCAATGGATTTTCCCTTAAGAGCGATGGATTTTTCCATCATTAAATATTGGTTTTCTTATAATGCAACCTAACTACAACCCCTCCACATCTCTATTACTACTAGTTAAAAAAAAAAATTAGAGGTTTTGTATGGAATACGGATAGTTTAATAATATCACCATCAAGAATAAATTTTCAATTCCCCTAATTAATGATTTGTTGGATGAGTTACGAAACTCTTATTTATTCTCAAAAATTGACCTACGATCTAGATACCACAAGATAAGAATGCATGAACAAGACATTAAAAACCGTATTCAGGACTTATCGAGGGCATTACGAGTTTAAGGTAATGCCATTTGGGTTAACTAATGCCCCCGGTACTTTTCCAGCCATGATGAATTCAATGTTAGAGCCTTTTCTTGAGAAACTTTGTATTAGTATTCTTTGATGACATGCTAATTTATAGTCCTACTATGGACTTACACATCAAACATTTAGTAATGGTGCTAAAGGTGTCGTTGAAGAACAAAATGTATGCTCGAAGATCCAAATGCTCTTTTGGTCGGGCATATATTGAGTATCGAGGCCATGTGCTCTCACTCGGGGGTAAGAGTGGCTACTAATCCTAAGAAGACAAAAGTAATAAGAGGTTGGCTAATACCTCAAACCATTAAGGAATTAAGGGGGGTTTTTTTAGGCTAGTCGGGTATGATAAGAAGTTCATTCATGGTTATGGTTTATTAAGTAAACCACTAATTGATTTATTAAAAACAAAATAATTTGCTATAGAGTGAGAGAGCTCGAGTCATTTGGGCAACTTAAGACTACCTTATGTAACGCTTATGTTTTAACTTTACCCAATTTCAATAAAAATTTTGTGTTGGAAACTAATGCTTCGGGTAAGTGGTATAGGGGTTATATTATCATAGCATGGTAGGCCTTTAGCTTTCTTTAGCAAGGTGTTATATGCTAAAAATTTAGGACTATCCATATATGAGAAAGAGTACTTTGCCATTTTAATGGCAATGGAGACGTGGAGACATTATTTAGAGTATGGGAAGTTTAATATTCAAACTAATCATAGGAGCATAAAATACCTCTTAGAATAGAAAATTCATACCCTAATTCGGAGGAAAGGGTTGACCAAGTTATTGGAATTGTAGTACAAAATTCACTATAGGAAAGGAAAAGACAATACCGTGGTCGATGCTTTATCAATAAGATTGCCAAAAGAGGGTAATCTTAGGATAATTACAACTATGATTCCTACTTTTTATGGATTTTATAAAGGGACTTCCAAAAATTGAAGGGAAAGATTGCACACTAGTCATTGTGGATATATTTATAAAGAATGAACACTTATTAGAGTTAACTCATCCTTTTTTAACCAAAGAGGTGGTAAAATAATTTTTGGAACAAATTTATAAGTTCCATGGTTTTCCAACTTTGATTGTTACCGACAAGGATAAAATCTTTACCAATTTATTTTAGACATAATTAGTCAAGTCATTAGGGGTTAAATTGCTGATGAGTTCATCTTACCATCCATAAACTAATGGTCAAATAAAGATACTGAATCAATGTTTGGAAAATTACTTAAGATGCATGTGTATGAAGTCTAAAAAAGTGGAATTAGTGGTCGCGCTTAGCTTAGTGGTGGTATAATTCTAGCTTTTATTCAACTATATAAATGAGTCCTTTCCAAGCCCTATATGGCTATCTACCACCTACCAGGGAGCTTGTCATTCATAGTACATCCATATTAGCTACCGTGACTAACTTGGTTTGGGAACGAAGAGCTATAGATTCATTTTTAAAAGTTTAGTTAGTGAGGGCACAACATAGAATAAAGCAGGTGTTGACAAAGGAATGACCGAAATGGAGTTTCAAGTGGGATATATGTTCTATCTCAAACTTCAACCTTATTGGCAAACAAGTGTGCCCTTGAGAAAAAATTTTAAGCTCAACCCACGTTTCTTTACCTCTTACAAGATTTTACAAAAGTTGCGTAAGGTGGTTTATAAATTGAAACTATCCGAGGGAGCAATGATTCATCTAGTTTTCCATGTATCCTCGGAGTGGAAGGTTGAGAATAATCCAATTACCTTTATTGCATTACCTATATTTAATGATAATGGCCAGATTAAGTAGTTCCATATGATAGTATTGGATAAAAAAATCATAAAGAAAGAGAATCGAGCAATTGTACTGGGTCTCATTCAATGGGAGTGTATGTCCAGAAAAGATGCTACTGGGAAATCATTAAAGACTTAGAGCAAGCAGCTTCTAAGTTTTTTTTTCAATCCTCGAGGGCAAGGATTGTTTCCAAGCAGAGGGTATTATTATATATAGTACTTCATTTACTTCATTGATTATTAATTTTGTGTTCATTTGTTAGAATTAATAAACATGTGTACATAGCTAGGATTAGTCGTTATTTATAATTGTCACTTATACTAATTAGTTGCAATTGTTTAGCAAAACAATTAGTTTGCTAATCAATTAGTATTAATTAGTGGGTTGTTGCATGGTATAAATAGTGAGAGAATTATCGAGAGAGATAAGATTTGTAACAACTAATTCTCCATTGAATACAATAGACGAGCACTTCTCTCTCTGTTTTCTTTCTATTCTTCTTCTTCTTTTCTAATTTCTAGTGGTTATTAGTAAGGAATCCATAGTTGGACCTTAGTAGAAACTTGGTGTAAGAGGAATATTTTGTTGTGCTAAAGAATTAAGAGAGATTACTAGGTACTCTTAGTGTGTTCTCTTCTCTTCTATTTAATAAAAAGAGAATTTACAAATAATTATCATAATGATTAGTTATAAATTTGGAGCCATATCAACTAATTAAACTTTTTTTTTTTTAATCTTTGATTAAGGTAAACCAAAACGGTTGGCTTGAAAAGAAAGGATTCTAGTCTTTTAAATAAATTTTATGCTCAAGTCCTTATTTATACAGAAAACTTTTTGGATATATATATTTATCTTATACATCCGATAAAATAGTAAAGGATTAGTCCGAATTTTGAGCTTCGGATACACTAGAAATTAAAAAAAGAGATTTATCACATGTATAACAATCTGAAAGAATAAAATAAAAGAAAAACAAGAAAACGTACAAGAGAAAGATGATAAAATAAGACGGGAATTTTCTTTTTCTAGCTACTTAAACGATTAGGGGTAACATTGAATTTTTGGAAAACTATAGGAGCAATTTGTAAACTTCTAATTATAGAGGTCTAAATGGAACAATAGTGAATCTATAGGGAAAAAAGTAAAGTTTACCCTAAAACTTAATCAGTCTTTGTAACGGTTCGAGTGTGATACTGTCATGTCTAAAATATAGCCGCTTTAAGGTTCTCACTTCTGTGTCTCCATGGGATTTCTTCTTTCTCCCTACAAGGTGTTTCCTTTATAATCTACTTCAATGCAAGCTCAAAGCATGCTTTCTGGGTCTTGCCCAAACTACAAAATCCCATCAATCCCAACCTTTAAAAACCCCTTCTTTTCTTCTTTAACATCAAACCCTTCTTTTCATTTTTTTCTTCAATCCCACAATTATGTCTCCTTCAAAACACATCATTCACCATGCTTAAAAGGTTTTTTGAAGAAGTTATTGTTTTGTGTAAATACTACAGAAAATGATGTTTTCGAAGAGAAAGATTACAAGAAGCCACAGTTTGTTAAAAGGAAGAAGCTTGCTGTTTTTGTCTCTGGTGGAGGCTCTAATTTTAAGTCTATCCATGAGGCTTGCTTTCAGGGGCTAATTCATGGAGATATTGTTGTTTTGGTCACAAATAAGCCTGGTATGTTTCTGTCCCTCTCATTATTATTTACTTGTGCTTCAACCGTACATTTTGCTGGTGAAGCTTTTTTTTTTTTTTTTTTGGGTGTTAATTATCCTCGGTTTTGTTGTCTAAGTTCCATGATTATGTTTGTCACTTGGTGTCCCTTATATTTAACTGATAAGTACTGTAACTGTTGATGGATTTTGACTTCAGTATGGATTATATTATTCTGGGTTTTAAGCACCTAATGTGATAAGTAGTCTAATTTGCCTACTCTTTATATTGTTATGGAGAATCTTTGTTTAGAGCTACAAATTATCATTGCCTTGATGAGCTTGATGTGTCTTTCAAGCTAAAAGACAAGGCAAAAAACGCTACTTGGAGACATGATGCTCGAATTTTGTTTAAGGATATTCATGTTTGTTCTTTTTGTTTATCTCACAGATTGTGGAGGTGCAGATTATGGGAGAAGTAAGGAAATCCCGGTTGTTCTGTTTCCTAGACCAAAAGATGAGCCTGATGGGTTCTCTCCAAGTGACCTTGTAGCTGCTCTTAGGTTAGGCTTGCTAACTTGTTATAGCTTTCTTATTTTTATTTGCATTTGTGAGTGTTGAATTACTGTTAACTGGTTAAATGGTTCCGTCCTCACCATATTTTGCCTTCGTACAAGCATTAATCTCCTGATTAATCCTCTTAGAATTTCAGATTTGCGGCCAATACAGAAAGAGTAGTTATGTGGGAATAAAGTATTAGGAGTTTCTAGCTTGTAGGCTACCGATGATTGATTAGGGATGTGGCTTAAGGGTTATGAACAATCACTTGCCAACTTTTCCCCTGTCATCCCCTCTGACCAGGCTTACCATACAGTGTTTAAGCATATGCAAGGGCTTGAGTGATTGTTTCTTGGTGCGATTGTTAAGAGTGTCACTGACCCATTTGTTATGGAGTCTGAGGTTCTTGTTTAGCTGGGAGTTTTGGATGCTCTCAACCAATATGATCGTTGCCATTGACTTATGCAGTATGCTCTGGCTATTAAAAATTAATGGACAAAACTAGCTTTGATTTTTAAAATTTGATGAAATTGCTAGGTGGTCTGAATTTTAATAGGGAAATAGAATTATTAGGATTTTTTTCTAATGGAAGTATACTCTTCAGTAGGGAGCTCCTCCTGCTACCTTGCCAACATATAGTTTTATATAATTGATATAAACTGTCTCTTTAAGTTTTGCTCTCTGCTATTGTCCTTTGTGCATTTAATTTTCCTTTTAGTTAATCCTGTTCATGGGCCTCTGAATTACACAATATGTTGATTACAATATTTCAGTTCATTCTAAAGGTTTTTTGTCTTGTCGTGATATGCAGGGTTTTAAGCTGTTACTTATAGTAGTAACTTAAATGTTGTTGGACAAATTGCTTAGACCATGAGCAATTTCCATGTTGTCTTCAATGTTGTATTGACAATGTATGTCATAGTTAGGTCATGCACGGAGCCTTCAGACATTTGAAAGAATGAGAGAAAAAAGTACATGAATTATAAGATGCAGTACCTTCTAGATGATCAACAATGCAGCAACGAAAACTTCTTCCTGCTTTTCCAATGTCATCTCTAACATAATGTTTTCTGCAATTGCTTTATTATACTCTAATGGCATACAGATACATCTAGTGATAATCTCTGCATATAGAAAGGGTAATGCTGTTATTCATGTAAGCATCTTACATTTGGTGGATTTTATTAATCAGGAGCCTTGAGGTTGACTTTGTTCTTTTGGCTGGATATCTTAAACTTATACCAGCTGAGTTGATCCGAGCTTATCCCCAATCCATATTGAACATTCATCCATCACTTCTTCCAGCTTTTGGTGGCAAAGGTTACTATGGTATGAAGGTGCATAAAGCAGTCATTGCTTCAGGAGCCAGGTAATTACATCTTATGGTGTTTTACATGTTTCACTTCCTCTTTGTGTCCACAAAATCATGGATTTTGGAAATAATAACCAAAATTTAATTCCTTTTTGAGCTTGTTAAAAAAAAAAAAAAATCTTCTATTGCGTTTAGAGCCAGAGTCCTCATACCTTTATTTTGCTGTCCCCTTGGCTGTTTAGATACTCAGGTCCAACTATCCACTTTGTTGATGAGCATTATGACACAGGGCGTATCCTGGCTCAAAGAGTTGTCCCTGTGCTTGCAAATGACACTGCAGAGGAGCTGGCCGCAAGGGTACTCCAAGAAGTAATGAAGTAGTATTCCCTTCTATTTTTTTTGTCTTTTTTTTTTTTTTTAAAATTTCTCAGACCAACGCATAATTTAATGTTTTCTTGCAATCAAACTGATTTCTTTTACAGTTTATCCAAATAATTGTTAACTTTTGAACCTATAACTGTTTATTGTTTGTGGACAGTTGCAAACCAACGTGTTCTAGATAGCTTCACATGAGGATGTTACTCAACGATGGAACTGTTAGTTTTGTTTTGTTTTGTTTTTTTTTTTTTTTTTTTTTTTTTTTTTTGATCCAGGAATTACTTTACTGGAAAACCTTCTATTGGATGATTAGGATATTATGAACTTGTTCCGTGCATTATAAGCTCAGATTTTGGCTTCAAATTTATTTAGCAATTTTTCTTTTCTTTTCATTTATAGGAACATCAGTTATATGTGGAGGTAACAGCTGCATTATGTGAAGAACGCATAATTTGGAGGGAAGATGGTGTCCCTCTCATCCAAAGTAGGGAAAACCCCAATGAATTCAGCTAGCATAATCAAACTTGTTTTGCTTTTTGGTGAGGTCTTGATTCAAATCTTAATATTTTATCAACCAACTTATTTAAACAATTCGAGACCTTAACATTATGGCGCAGGAGCAATCTACTCACCAAACTCTTCATTTTTCTATTCTTTTGTAGGTTGTATCCTGTTGAAGAGTGTGACATGCATGCAGATATTTGACAACAGCATGACAGGGATATAATTTCAAACTGAGGTTGTGTGTGACACCCTTGATTGCATAGAAAACGATGTCGATTTCCTAGCATTTGCAAAATTTGCCTAAAGGTTACATGGTTTATGAAAAACTGTCTCTTCTGAGTAACGAGTCAGATGGTTTTTATTTATAGATATGATGTCAAATCTGATGTAAGGAATTTTTGACAAAGCAATTTAGACACTTGAGCTACATGTGTAACCTCATATATAGATAGCTATTCTTCTTTCAAAATTGATATTTATTTTATTTTTTGGAGATCAGCCTTCTTTATAGAATTTGCTTGAGCTGGGAAATGTTGAGCAATAACTGTGTCACCTATAATTCCCAAGATTTCTTAATTGAATAAAAATAAAACATCTGGAAAGCCACTTAGGAGGTGGCTTTTAGGTTGCTGCGGGGCAATTGGTTTGCCATTATGCATAGAGAATGGTTCCAGGAGTACTTTTTTATTATGGATTTTGGAAGAGCTTTTGATTGTGACTTCCATGTGCATGTAGTTGTTGTGTTGGTGAAACGTCCGTTTTCTAACACAGCATGTGGATAGGTATCTCATTTATGGAATGCCTATAATTTTACAAGTTTACCATGATTCATGACTCATTTTTATCCCTTCCACAGGTTGTCCTTTGAAATCTTCTTCCATTCTTCCATCTTTCTACCAACCCCCTACTTCTCTTCTCTTTTCCACTGTCTTTGATCTGATGTAGCTGAATGGTAACTGTTGGCCTTCGGCCGTGGTCTGTGTTCTGACTTCTACTAAGGATATTTTTTGACTTTATCTTATAATTTTGTTAATTCTGAACTTTATCGTGTAATTTTGTCAATTCTGTCGAACTGATTGAGAAGTTGAACCGTTTCCTTTCACCCCACAACTTACACCGGTATTTATCACTCATGTAGACAGCAGCAACATGAGAACGGCATGACTTTTTTCTTGGAATCACTTGTCTTTCACCCCACAACTTACACCTGTATTTATCACTCATGTAGACAGCAGGCTGGTCATTCACAACTCAAAGCAGCAAGTCTTGCTGCTGATTTCTGGTTTCTAGCATTCTCTCCCAGGGAAAAATTGCAAATTAATCCTTCCATCATTGATCCAACTGAACCTTCGTTTTCCATTCTCCTCCTCGCCCTCCACTAGAAAGTAGACACCACTGTTCCTCTCGTCCTCTCTGTCTCTTTATTTCCTATCTGGGCTGACAGAAGAATTGATGTTCTTGATTATTATGGCAAACTTATGAAGCCTCGAAGACCAGTTATTTCTTCAATTTCTAACTTGTGTTGAATCATTAGGAATAAGTTGCACGTGCCAAATGCTCATTGGATGAAATTGCTTTCATGGCATCGACACAAGCAACTAAAAGCAGAAGGGGGCCCTCAAAAGCTGATCACTTGCTAACCCACATCATTCATTTTCTTAGCACAACATTCCATTGTTGATTGCATCAAGTGATTTGGTGAGACTTTTACCTTAAATGTTAGAATATCAGATTGGTAGGTGGCTGAAGTTTATGCAGACATTAATCCCTTGTCCAAACTCAGAACTTTTTATCAACTGCTAGTTTGTCCTTTAGTGACGCTTGATGTCTCCGTTTGACTAATGCTGATAAAAATGGAGAAGAGAAATGAAACCATGAATGACTCTTTAATGCTTCATTAAATCAAGCCCATTTGAGGTGTATCAGATGATTATGTTCTTAGCAGACAAACCACATTAGAGCTGTTAAAAAGGAAAAAGGTTAGTGGGTTTCAACTACTACTCACAGAGCATTAATGGAAGGCATTATGTGCCACATTTTTTACTGGGACAGAAATGTTATTGATCACTTGTTAGACCTATAAATACCCCACACCGCATTGAAATTTTAATATACTAAACTATCAAAAAAGAAATGGCTTCTTCTTCATTACTCTCTATCCTTGTTCTCACTTCTCTGCTGTTCTTGTTTGCCACCCCCTCCCGTTCTTCAGAGAATGGTGTTGCTCAGGAACCAGCTCCTCCTGTAAGGTCCAGGAAAATTTCGGAGAATGGTGTTGCTCGGAAACCAGCTCCTCCTGTAATTTTGGAGAATGATGTTGCTCAGGAACCAGCTCCACCTGTTAGGTACAGGAAAATTTCGGAGAATGGTGTTGCTCGGGAACCAGCTCCTCCTGTAATTTCGGAGAATGATGTTGCTCAGGAACCAGCTCCACCTGTTAGGTACAGGAAAATTTCAGAGAATGGTGTTGCTCGGGAACCAGCTCCTCCTGTAAGGTCCAGGAAAATTTCCCACAATTCCGAGAAAGTTACTTTGTCTCTATATTATGAATCTCTTTGTCCATACTGCGGCAGTTTCATAGTAGGTCCTCTAGCTCAGGTCCTGGAGACTGATCTCATGACCATTCTCAATCTCAGACTGGTTCCCTGGGGAAATGCTATTCTAGATTCTAACAATACCATTGAGTGTCAGGTTGCATTTCCATCTTCAGATTGTGTTTCTTTTTTTTTTTTCTTTTTTTTTTAAAAAAAAAAAAAAGAAGAAGAAGAGAGAGAGAGAGAGAGAGAGAGAATTGTTCTTTCAAGGTTTCGATTAATCACCTTTTACTTTGGTTTTTTTTTTTTTTTCACAGCATGGGGAAGATGAATGCTATCTGAATATCATCCATGCTTGCAGCATCAACATCTGGGCTGATTTGGTAAAACTAGCTGTTCTTCACAAATACTTCACTGTTTCCTGAGGATGCAATTCAGCCTATGAATGAAATTGATCTCCTGTTATTTATTTATTTATTTATTTATTTAAATGCAGAAGAAGCACTTCAACTTCATCAAGTGCATCGAAAAGCAATATGCAGTTCCTGATAGAACTGGAGCAGAAGAATCCTGGGAAGCATGTGCTGATAAATTGAAGCTGCCTACAGAACCCATCAAGAAATGCTATGACAGTGGACATGGAAAAGAGGTATGGTTCATTTACTGATCATATTTTATCTGCTTAAAAAAATTAATTAGATTTGGTTGTTTGGAAATCATACAACCCTAAAGGTACGTGATTCCAACTTGCAAGAAGGTGCACCCTTTTACCCTTTTGGCTACTCTTTGCCCTTCTTTTTCTGTCCTTTAACCTGTATAATATTGAAGTATACTGCATCTCCAGTTTTGATGCTAGAACTGATGTTTCAAGAAAATAAATATGCAGCTTGTCCTACAAAATGGCGAAGAAACAGATCATCTCAGTCCGCCTCACGAATACGTGCCCTGGGTGGTTGTGGATGATAAACCTCTCCTTGATGTCAGTCACAAGCCTCTGTCAATATCTCTCCCCCTCTGAACAATACCCATGTTATTGTTTATTTATTTGGGCTTTTTTTTTTTTTTTTTAATGCAGGACTATAAAAAATTTATAGACTATGTTTGCAAGGCATACAAAGGCAAACATTTGCCCAAGACTTGCAGTTCCGATCCCAACAACTCAATTAACAAGGAAAACTCACCCAAATCAGTCTGCTATGCAAGTGAAGCAAGGTCAACTGACAGTTCAAAGATGCCCCAGATGAAGATGGAACCCCTTGCATGATTCTTATACATGCACCCTTTTATTATAGAATTAAAATAAAATGAAGGGTATTTACATTTCAGGCACAGTTTCTTACACAAGGAACTCACCTGGTGGATGGATTCCTGTAGTTGATAAACAACAGGGTGATCTAATTAGTGGGTCTGCAAGCACAAAAAACGAAAGCGAAATTGCATTTTAATAAAGTTCCACTTCATGTTCTGTAGTTTCATTGTTTCATCCACAAAAATTCGTACCAGTCTTTTTCTCCTCCCTTCGAGAAAATATAGCCTCTACTGATAATGAATAGAATAACAAGGAAACAGGGTCTACAAACCATCACATTTCATTGCTACAACAAAAAGTGCACATACAAAAACTAGAATGCAACGCCTCACAGGAGTCGCCATTTATCAAACTTGAAGAGACGAAAGCCTAATACCCTCGAGAAAAGAAGACTACCTACAAAATAAGTAACTAAGTATATTACAGAAAGACAAAACTATTACCCTCCCTATAAGCATTGGAACCAAGTAGAATCAGCCATGCCAGCTGAAGATGTCCAACATCTATTGCTGATTTATCATCTCCCAAATGCTCTGGCATGTTTCAAATGAGCTTATCGTTGTCGGGTCGAATTTAAATTTCTCAACAGCCTTGTTATCTCTATCCACAATATCTATAACCAATATTAAGGACAAGCAATCTGCCATGATTCCCAAACAGAATTGGACCTAGAAAAAAGGCACAAAAGAGGAAGAAAGAATTTCAACACCAAAAAAAAAAAAAAAAAGCAAAGAAAGAAAAGAAATCTATGTAGTGGGTTGGAATATTAGGATACGGCCAGAGATTCCGGAGTGATCATCCAAGTCTGGGATGATATTAGTCAGAGATGCATACATTGAAAGCAACCACCTGCAAGCTCGAAGAAAATGTGAAGCATCAGTAACCATAATAGACTAACATCTAATATTCCATCTAATCTACACGCTTCAAAAGACAAAACACATGTTACAAGATTCGAGATTCCCAGCTGAGATGGAGCACAAAGATGCCGACAATCAATTAACTTCAAACTGTGGGATACAAATGAACATACAGAACAGTTCGAGAAGTAATCAAAGAATCACCATTTTCTTTGCTAACAGTTCAAGTACCACATGGTCTGAAAAACTTACTGTGCTCTAAGCTCATCTTTCTCGTCTTTCTTCAGATTTTGCTTTTTTACCTCGAAAGAAATCCGTTGACGCTTCAAACCATTGATCTCGTTGTTGACCACTGTGTTTAAACAAACAAAACCAATCAATGGATGCCACTAGTACACAGAACCAATAATCTCAAATTACTTATCTGAGCTCCTCTTTTAGAGCACGTTCTTTTTCAAGCTCCGCTTCTAATTCCTTGTGAAGAACCTCCATTTCCGCATCCGAAACAACTTCTGATGTCGCCTTCTCCGTCTTCTTCTTGCATTCTTCTATCTTTTTCTCATAATCTGCTCCGCATTATTGCTAAAACTAATCAGATCTACAACAACAAAAATTAAACTACATTTTAAATCCGCAAATTAAAAGAGACCTTCAATTAGGGCTTTGGAGTCGCTAAATTCGGCGTCGCAAGAGGAATTGAGAGACTTTGATTGTTCAAGACATTGAATCAAGCTGTTACTATCTCTTTTATCCTTTAAAACGGCAATCAAATCATCGCTGAATGGAACTAGCTTCTCAACATCTATCCTTCCAGAGGAATCCCCCATTTTTTCTTAAAGAAGCTTCAAATCCCCAAAGCAGTTGTTTGATTTTAGGGTTTCTGGAAAACGTTCATGTTTTTCGAATTTTGAAGAAGGCGGAAGGATAAGAGAGGGGAAAACTCAGAGTTGCAGAGTTAAATTGTTCAATTAAAAAGTAACAAACGCTGTCGTTTCATCGATGACCTTGCCTCCCCTCAGCACTTCGATTTTTATTATTATTTATTATTACTTTTAATTTGATGAAGATATCTTCTTTGGGAAGATATATTTTCTAGCCATTAAAGTTAAAAATTAATTGGAGTAGAAAAGATAAATTTAAATAAATACAAAAATACATTAAGATAGTTAATTTCCAAAAGTTTAAAAACGACTGTATATTTTTAAAAAGAAAATTAAAAACACAAAAAAAAAAAAAAAAAAAAAAAGAGTAGAAAATGGGTAACTAAAAAATATTGCATCCTCCATCATTGTTGTAATCTTTTATACAAATTAAACACAAATGTGGCCTGAGCTAGAATAACAGAGAGAGAGAGATGTTTGTCTTCCAGGTACAAGCACAAGCATTTCTCTTCTAAAGTCAGAAGTAAGGAATCATGGAGTAAGATATGTATAAGTCATACATATTTACCTATAAAGAATTTAATTTTTCTAGCTTTAATTTCTCCATGTAGAAACTCTCACTAATGGAGTTGCTTTCCATTCCAAAATCATCTCATTTTCTTGTTGTCCTCCAATGCTTACTCCATAAGAACTCTGCTTTTCACTCACCATTTCTCTAGCTTCCTCCAAACTCACTCTGCTCACCCTCCTTCCTTCTAACCCATTTCCAGCCTGAAGATTGCAACCTTCCTTTATCTCCATCCATCTGTGGAACCAATCCTGAGATGAGATGTAAGGTGACACAAAGAGGCACTCCAATGCCATTCTTGCTTCTGTGAGATGAACTGGGAAATTGGACTCGATTGACTCTAGCAAGGCTTGATAATGCACCATATGCCCTTCGAAACATGATCCGAAACCGGAACAATTTTTTAAATTTTCACAGGAATCGCCATCACCAAAAGTGATAATTCCTCTGCTGCTGGTTTTGCAGTAGCCAGAATTGGCCAACAAGTCTTTGGCTACCCTTAGGAACTCTTCAACAAGTTTTCTACTCCTTGCTCTGCCCATGTGTGGAAGTCCCAACATAGAATTGAAAACTAACCACTCTTTTCTACCACCTCTTTTATTTGCTTTCTTTACCTCACTCACCAAATCCTCAATCTCCATCTCCTCTACCTTTAACTTTAGACCAAAGTATCTTGCATCCTCAAGAAGTCGCCTTTTCGTTGCATCGAAACTCCAAATCATCGGAGCCCAATTGCAGTCCTCGTTTTTCCATTTTATTGCTGTCAATTTTACTGCCTTTTGCTGGTGTGCCAAGGCCTCAATCATTGGAGGCCATTGAATACCTTCTCCGAGATCGAAGTCCACTATGTGTATCGTCTCTGCATCAGCTGGAATAGCTTCAAGGATTGCTGAATTAGCAGCAAAGTGAGCAAACCTCCCATATGGGAAAATTTGGTAGAATGCCCTGAAAGCTTCCTCAAAATTCTTGCAGGATTCTTGTTTTAGATAATCCCCTTGCTTCTCAAGATCTTGGCATAGATTAAAGGCGAGACGCTCCAAGGCTTCACCAGCAGGACTAACTTTCTCAGTTACACATCTCATGATAACATCTGCAAGCTCACTCTGTCCTCTCTCTCTGGCTTCTCCATAAGCCTTGAGTAGATGAAACAGACTCACTTGATTTTCAATCTGTGAGTCTTCTCCTGGCAAGGCAAGCGTCGACTGTGGAATTATTGGTGTCGCGTCCATGGATGTTTCACTTGATTTTATTGAAGGGCTAGGACTCCATGCATCTTCCCCTTCACTAGACAGCTCTTGTGAAAGAGAATTTCCTTCATTCTCACCGAATATTTGCACCATTTCATTGATGAAATTAGGCTCAAAGCTCTCCATCAACAAATCTTCCACACATGGTGCCTTGACTTGGAAGTCATCAGAAGAAACTGGGGACTGGACAAACTTATCATCACCAGGGAAAATTGTAGGAAACATAGAGGAAATATCGGATTGACAGGCATCAACATAGGCATCCAGTTCCATACCACAGAAACCAAGTTGATCAAGATTAGCTGAACTTATGACCCTGTAGAATGGCCATGAAGGCTGAAGAATTTCTGGTTGCATCATCTTTAATTTTGATGAAAGGCTTAATTAATACCAACTAGGTAGAAAAGAAGAGAGTTAATTTTTTTTTTGTTGTTGCTGCTGAATTTTTAAGGATAGGATTAGTGGGGTATTTATACAAAGATAGAGAACAATGTAAAGACAGATTAGCATAATAGAATATTATAACAGGAAATGAGCATTAATTTTTTTCTTTAAAAAATAAATACATGATCCTGCCAGTCATTCTCACAAGCTTTCTAAAGAGTTTTATTCCTATCAAGTTCCCAACCCAGCCTTCCTTTCTTTGGATTTTGTAGCTTCTTCATGCATATCCATTTAGATTCTCCCTTTTTTAATCCAAGAGATTAGTTAATTAATCATTTATTAAATTTCAAAATAATTTACCTTTCACTATTAAATGTTTTTATTTAATATATATGTGCACGTCTATTTGTATGCTAATATATATTTCCAATGGGGCAACATTTCCTAGCCTTTTCCTTGATTCTTCCCATCCTAGCCCCTTTTCCTAGGCTTTTCCTTGATTCTTTCCATCCTAGATGTGTGGGATTTCATCAATTTTTCTTGGAGGAATGACAGGTAATTTACTTTATCGTTTAAAAAATTAACACACGCCTCCTCCACGCATATATATATTTTAATCAAGTAAATAATGTCAATGTCCATGTATATTTTCTATTGGCTCCACTTCATTGTCTTTAATATTTACAACATTCTTTAATTACTGCTCGAATTATCATTAATTCAGGAGTAGAAACTAAAAAATCTTTTTTTTTTAATTGCATCTATTTAAATGTATAGATAACCAACTTAACGTCAGGGATCGACAACACGATCACATTAGCCTTTTGATGGACGAAAGTCCATCTTTAAGAAGAGATCGAACTCAACGTCTAGTTATTTACATAAACTATTCAAGAAAGAGACTTGAATCCAAAATCTATCATGTCTTAATTAAATCAAATTTTTTATAACTTATTTCAACCGATGTTAATTATCAATTAATATTGTTAATAGTTAGTAGTTAGTAAAGTAAAAGAATTGTATTATAACAACAAGCATGAATTGATTATCACTATGACACAATATTTTAAGCTCAAGCTCTTCTTTTATAAAATCTTTATAAGTGCAAAGACCTTATTATCTTTACGTCAATGACTTATTGATTATTGCGTAGTAATTTGTCAATTGAAATTGACGACTCTTCATAATTCTTTAATCGAACTTTATTGTCATACAATTCTTTGCATTTTATTGGCACGAAATATTTCAAAGATTGACGCAACTTCATGTAAATTTTTTTCGTTGTTTTAAGCTTTTGTCTCTTCATGCTCTCCAATTGTGATTGCGTTCTAATGACACATGTTAACTGGATAATCATTAAATTAAAAGCATATCCAAAAATAAAGATTCGGCACAAAATTTCTTGCGTAGGATTTAGCTCTGCAATTATATATTTTTATGGAGTTTAAAATCATATCCTAAAATAATCATACTATATTACTCAAAAAATTCTTGCAATAACTTCTCCACGTGGAGATTAAATTATTTTCAAGTTGGTTTTTTTATCAGATTCTCACCACATAATTTTTTTTCAATAATAAAAATGTTTTTGAGATAGTTTTTACGTATTTCAAAATCAATTCCTTCCCTTTAATAATTTTTTTCTTTCAGTTTTTTCTTAAAATTCAATCCCAAAATAATAGTATGAAAAATAAAAAACTCACCATCTAATCCAATGCCTTTATTTTCTTTAATAACGAAAAAAAAAGTTTTTTTTCATGTATAATATATATATATATATATATATGTGAGTACGTGCAAAAGCTGTGTAGTTGAGTCAGGAACGTCTCTGCCAACTAATTTTGTCATTTCCTTGACTTTGTAAACCTGATGATGTTTTGGTGCCTTGTCATGAATAGTGGCATGCATAATAATTGAAGTAGTGAAATTATAATGACTGATAACTACTGTGGCTTTTTCCTACTTTGGTGGCCACAAAATGGGATCTTTTTCTGTTGCTTTAAGTCGGACATGCTTTGTTTCCTACAACGAAAGGATAAGTATGGACTTATAAGTAATGATCAATTTCTTAAACAAATAAATTAACCCTTCTTAGTTTGATTGACCAATATCGATCCTTACATGACAATTGTGTTTTTAAGGTTTCTTGTGGACCTTCATTAATCTTAATCACTAATTATTCCTGCATATAATTAATCTCTTGAAATTCCTAATTCTCGGCAGGAAATTTTGTAACCGTTCTTCTCAGACCTTTTATTGATGAACCGGGAAACAATTACATTTGCTAATATACACGGCATAATCTCCAAAAAAAAAAAAAAAAAAAAAAAAAAAAAAAACTAAGGAATTTCCTTCTATTGGATAAGATGAAGATTGCAATTTCCCGAATCCAAAGTTTTTTTTTGTTGCATATAATGTATTTTTATGCAACTATGATTTGTATTATACCAATTTCGATGTATTTATAACAATATATGGAATATTACAAAGTAAAACGCAAAGAATTAAGACAAAGGCTTTTTTAATATCCAATCTTTGATTTTTATTTATTTTTTTATTTTGATATCCAACTATTGATTTATAACGATTTACTAGCTAAGCTTTGATAGTTTTGTTTATTTTGATGACTGACTTCACTTGAAGTTTAAATTTGTTGATGTGCCCGACGAGAGCTTCCACATGACAGTCAACTCTAGACATATTAGCACCTTATGCTCTAAGGTGGCTATAGACACTCAAATAGTATAAAAAAAAAAAATCAAAAGTTAGGCATTGAAATATAAAAAAATTAAAAATTGGGCACCAAAAAAGTAATTTTTTCAAGAAATTTATTTTTTCAAGATTGCAAAATCAGTCCAATAATTTCTAATAAACATTTTTCATATCATACTCGTGGCATTTTTTTATTTATCAAATATAATTTTTTAATATTTTGTATTAATTAAAAATTATTCTTTAAAAAAAATTATAGACCCTTTTAGTTGTCTAAACAAAGTTAATAATATATCATTTAGCCAAATATATATAAAGTTCAATTAAGAGTAAATCTAGAAAAACAAAAGACATAAGATTCAATTATGATTGCTATTTGAGGAATGGAGAAATAAAAAAAAAAGCTTTTTCACGTGTGAGGGAGAAGATTGACCAACATATAATGGGTGACATAAGCTTTTTATGGCCAATAACTTGCTAAACTTTTTATAATAGGCTAGGATGAGATAGAATTGAGATTAATAAGTTTAGTAATCAAGTTTTTTGATTTAGACGTTTAAAGTGCAATACTTTTAGTAGCGAGTGGCGATAATGATGAAAACAATAAATAAAGTATGAATTAAGCTAAAAAGTGAGTGCATTGTTAAAATTACTTGAGCAATTAGCATAATAACTAAAAAATATGCATGCATGCAATTGCTTATATTTTTAAAATTTAAAATTATATAACTTTCATATCTAAAAAAAAAAGATTTTTAAGAGGCATATATATATATATATATATTATGAAAGGACAAGATATACATAAAATTTATTTATAATAAAGAAATGATAGATCGAGTACAAGAAGAGAATAGACATTTTGGTGTGAGAAAGTTGAAATAAATTTCTTGAAAAACTATATTTTCGATGTCTAATCATTGATTTTATTTATATTTTTTTCGTTTAGGTGCTCAACCTTTAATATTTTTTCATAATATTTCAATGTCTAACCTTTGATTTTTTTTTTTTCATTTACTTGCCCATACTCACCTTAGATCATGAGGTACCGACGTGTCTAGAGTTGATCGTTACGTAAGACTTTTTTACTATCACATGGCGACTTTCGTTGAACACGTCAACAAAATTGCATTTCGGATAAAGTCGGGCATCAAAATAAATAAAAAATCAAAACTTGGGTAGCAAGTCATTAGAAATTAACAATTGAATACCTAAAAAAAAGTCAAAGGTTAGGTACCAAAAACCTAATCTTTCAAAACATTAATATCAAGATTCATATTAGATGGCAAAAGTTCAACCTTCTCTTATGACATACATACGGGATAAAATTATCTTATAGCAATGCAATTTTCACATTTACGTATTTGTATACTCTTTTAATGCTCATTGACTAGGAGAAAACATTTTTCTTAACCTATTGTATTGCATTAATTGTTGTCACTAGTATGACCTCTTTGTATTTATCTAGTGGCCTTACGAGCATAAAGTCATTGCAAATTTAATAACAAGCAACAAATGTGAAATCGGTTTATAGTTAATGTTTCACATTCACTACAAAAAACATGTAGTTAGCAACGAAAAATTCCATGACTAACATAGGTTAGTGACGAATTTATGACGAGAAAAAATTATGTCGCTATCTTGCTTGTTGTTATCTTTTACGACAGAATATCAATTCCATCGTAATTGTAGCGATGACAATTTTGTCGCTACTTAAAACAATTTCATCACGAATCCGTCGTTGATATGTCATTTATTCCGTAGCTATTCCGTTGCTATTTTCATCTCGGAGCAACGATCGAACTTCCGTCGCTAATTTTGAAAATGAATTTTTTTGGTATTCCGTCACTATTTTTGTTATTCCGTCGCTCGTCCGTCACTAATTTTGGAAATGAATTTTTTTGCTATTCCTTCGGTAGTTCATTGCTTATTTTGGAATTAATTTTTTCGTTATTCTATCATTATTCAATCGCTAATGTTTTTTTAATTATTTTTAAATTACTAATATTGCATTTAATAATTAATATATTTATTATTATAGTTAATAGTTGATAATTATATGTAAAAACGTATATATTAAAAATAAAATAATATTAACAATACCATTCTATAGTACGTTCCATAAATAAAAATATGACTAAATGCTCTATCACTCATCCTACTCGTCTAATCCAATATCCTCATCCCGATATTGTGTGGAGGGCTCGACGGGAGGATTGACTAGAGACTTAATGGGAGGCTAAGTGGAAGGAACGGTGGAT